GGAGGGATGCGGGTGGGAGAGATGTTATGGGGGGGAAGCCATTGTAATCCATAAGCCGTACTTTGGAAATTTATATTCATTAAATAAAAGTTAAAAGTTAAAAAAGAAAAGAAAAAAATATTCCTCAAGAGTTGAGACAAGTGCAATGATTTTGAAATCATTGCATCTCAAAGTGTTAATTTTAGTTCTAACAAGACATATTAATTACCACAGATCAGGGCCAACATATGGTATTTGTGTTTTTGGGACTGGTTTATTTTACTAAGTGTATTGGCTTCCAGTTGCATCTATTGTGTTGCTTTGTTTTGTTTTGTTTTGTTTTGACAGGCAGAGTTAGACAGTGAGAGAGAGAGAGACAGAGAGAAAGGTCTTCCTTTTTCCTTTGATTCATCCCTCAAGTGGTCGCTGTAGCTGGCGTGTTGTGGCCAGCGCACTGCGCGGATCCGAAGCCAGGAGCTAGGTGCTTCCTCCTGGTCTCCCATGTGGGTGCAGGGCCCAAGGACCTGGGCCATGCTCCACTGCACTCCCAGGCCACAGCAGAGAGCTGGACTGAAAGAAGAGCAACCGGGACAGAACCGGCGCCCCAACCGGGACCAGAACCTGGGGTACGTACTGGCGCCGAAGGCGGAGGATTAACCTAGTGAGTTGATGCACCGGCCTGCATCCATTGTGTTGCAAAAGACAGGATTTCATTTTTTTTCTTACCTCTGTGTAGTATTCCATAGTGTACATACACTGTAATTTTTTTTTTTAACCAGTCTTCAGTAGATGGACATCTGGGTTGATTCCATATCTTAGCTATTATGAATTGAACTGCAATAGACATGGGGTACAGATAATTCTTTTATGTGTTGATTTTTTTCTGGTTTGGGTAAATTCCCAAGAGTGGGATTCTGGATAATATGGTATATCTGTGTTCAGATTTCTGAGATATCTGCATACTGTGTTTCACAGTGGCTGCACCAGTTTCCATTCCCACCAACAGTGGATTAGAGTACCATTTTCCCAATATCCTTGCCACATTTATTGTTTGTTGATTTCTGTATAACAGCCATTCTAACTGGTTTGAGGTAAAATCTCATTGTGGTTTTGATTTGTATTTTCCTGATGGCTAGTGATCCTGGGACTTTTTTCATGTGTCTATTAGCCATTTGAATTTCCTTTCTTGGAAAATGGCTGTTTAAGGACTTTGTCCACTTCTTAACTGGGTTGTTTGTTTTGTTGTTGTTGAGTTTCTTGAGCTCTTTAAAGATTCTGGATATTGATCCTTTGTCAATTGTATAGTTTTCAAGTATTTTCTCCCATTTTGTTGGTTGCCTCTTTACTATGCTGAGTGTTTCTTTTGCAGTGCAAGAGCTTCTCAATTTGATGTAATTCTATTTTTCAATTTTGGCTTGGATTGCCTCTACCTCTGGGAGTTCTCCAAGAACTCCTTGCTTATGTGAATGTCTTGCAGAGTTTCCCCAATGTTCTGTAATAATTTGATAGTATCAAATAAAAGACTTAGGTCTTTGATCTGTTTTGAGTGGATTTTTGTGTAAGGTGTAAGGTAGGGGTCTTGCTTCATACTTCTGCACGTGGAGATACATTTTTCCCAGCACCATTTGTTGAAGAGACTGTCTGTCTCCAGGGGTTAATTTTACCTTGCTCCAGAGGTTGATTTCTGGAGTTTCCATCCTGTTCCATTGGTCCACTCATCTGATCTTTTTATTTGCCAGTATCAAGTTGTTTTGATTATAAATGTGCTGTAGTATGTCTTGAAATATGTTTGTGATGACTCTGGTTTTGTTTTTGTTGTATAATATTGCCTTGGCTATGCAGAGTCTCCTGTATTTACAAGTGAATTTCAGCATTTTTTTTCCAGATATGAGAAGAATATCCTTGTATTTTGATTGATATCACATTAAATTTGTAAATTGCTTTTGGTATTATGGACATTTTGTTGATATTGATTCTTCCAATCCATGCACACCTACAGTCACAGGGTGCCAAGGATCCACTCTACACTGCCAGTCTGTCTTGTACACAGAGAGATGGGTGCTCTACCTAGGAAGTTTGAGCCCCATAGCCTGTGATGTGTTGGGAGACTGGTACTTCACAGTCCTAAGCGGGTACCCCACACCCTGTCAATCCTCCCAGCCAGAATCAGATATCTCTTCTTGGCTGGTTGCTGGGGTGCAAACACAAGCAGGCACAGCTGTGAAGGATGTCCAAAGTGGTGCCCACCTTCTCCCAGCCATTTGCAGGGCACCATTGTCTGGGGGATGGGGAAAAAGAAACATGCCCCCATTTTCCCCTCTATGTTGGCAGGTAATTTGTCCCTTGGAGCACTGTTGCTCCAAGCCAAACTCAAACTAAAATCTCTCTTCAGCTTTATTGCCAGTGTTTTGGGCTGCTGTAGTCTGGCCTCATGTCACTCTCCAAAGCTTGTGCTGAGATTCTTGGTTGCTGGGGTCCTGTATTGTATCCATGCTCATTCTACACATTCACATCCTCCACATAGATCCACAGTATCCCTCTTCCTGCCATGGAATTTCCGCTGGAGTTTTCTAACTCTTTCCTGAGATTGTACACTCTCTACTTTTTTTTTTTGACAGAGTTAGACAGTGAGAGAGAGAGACAGAGAGAAAGGTCTTCCTTCTGTTGGTTCACCCCTCCAAATGGCCGCCACAGCCGGCGTGTTGCACCGATCTGAAGCCAGGAGCCAGGTGCTTCCTCCTGGTCTCCCATGCGGGTACAGGGCCCAAGCACTTGGGCCATCCTCCACTGCCTTCCCAGGCCACAGCTGGACTGGACTGGAAGAGGGTTGGACTGGAAGAGGAGCAACCGGGACAGAATCCAGTGACCCAACCGGGACTAGAACCCGGAGTGCCAGCACTGTAGGAGGAGGATTAGCCTAGTGAGCCACGGTGCCAGCCTGCTCTCCACTTTTTTTTTTTTTTTTTAAACTATCTTCCCCTAACTTAGAGCAGTATGCTCCCTCCCTATTCCGCCATCTTGGAATCTCTGAATACTTAAATTTAAATTAGTTGAAATAAAGTAAAATGAACATTTCCATTCTTTAATCCCTCAACCACAATTCAAGTGGTCCATGCTACCTGCCGTTAGTGATTATCATATTGGGCAACACTCATAAAATCCTTATATTACTGAAGAAAGTTTATTGGATAGGGCTTATCTAGATAAGAAAGAAGAGCTGAGACCAGCATTATCTACAAATTTGTTCCTCTATGATACTAAACCCAGAATTTGTTAGTAGGTGATACTATGACCACATAAGTGAATAATGGTGTGTGTTTAATTTCTTTTTTTAAAGATTTATTTATTTATTTGAAAGTCAGAGTTACACAGAGAGAGGAGGAGAGCAGAGAGAGAAAGAGGTATTCCATCTGCTGGTTCACCCCCTCAGTTGACCACAATTGCTGGAGTTGCGCTTATCCAAAGCCAGGAGCCAGGAGCTTCCTTTGGGTCTCCTGTGCTGGTGCAGGAGTCCAAGGACTTGGGCCATCTTCTTCTGCCTTCCAAGGCCATAGCAGAGAGCTGGATTGGAAATGAAGCAGCTGGGACTCAAACTGGTGCCCATATGAGAGGCTGGCACTGCAGGTGGTGGCTTTACCCACTACACTACAGCGCAGGCCCTGAGTTTAATTTCTTAAGGACTTTAAACATTATGACAAACTAGTTGCCTAAAAGCACACTAATTCAGCCTTTTATATTTCTGGTAGTCGGAGTCTAAAATATGTCTCTCTCGGTTAAAACCAAAATGTCAAAAGGGCTATATTTGTAGGGAGTGGGAGTCATTTTCTTACCTTTTGAGAGAACCCCTCCTTCCATTTTCAAAGCCAGCCATGACCCTGAATCTTACTTTTCTTCTTTCCCATTTTAGTTGTAAAGACTCTGGTTATTACATTGACCCTACCCAGATAATTCAGAACAATTTGTCCATCTCAGGCTCAACTGATTAGCAACATTAATTCCATCTGCAACCTATTTTCCCTTTGCCATATAACACAACATAGTCACAGGTTCTGGGAATTAAAACATAGACATCTTTGGAGACCCTAACTGTCTACTAAATAAGGTTAAACAAAATTAAGCAGTGACCTTTCCATTAGGACTTCATTGCAGTTTTATTATTCAAAGAAAAATGTGAATTTCTAGGAGGAGTAAAGGATATAGTATTTTTCAAATCTATTTCACTACAGGGCTCTTTTTAATGAAAAAAAGTATTTGTTAGCAATATTTAATGGAACAGAACCTGAAAGATATCTTTGTTGGAAGCCTGTAAAAATAACTCAGAAAGCAGTAACCATTCCAGTTCAGTACCTTGGTAATTGCAGAACAATCTCTTAAGTATCATATGCAAATTATTTTCTAAGGCCCTGCTGAGTTTCTGTTCCTTTAACAGGAATATATGGAGTAGGTGGAAATGAGCTAGCTACTTGGAAAGATTTTTGAGCCTACTTGTCTCTGTGTTGCATATATAGTAAGGACATGCCTCTGTCTGCAGCTTATACTCTCAGTTCATTAAAATAATCATGGGACATTATAGTTATACATACCTTTGAGGGAATCAAATCCAAAAACCTGGAGTACTTATCATTTGTCATGCAGAAATAATCCATCTGTTGGTCTACATTCTCTCAAGTAAATATTATTCTAGCCTTAAAATTACATTCTTCCAAAAATGTAGGATACCTGGTCATCAAAGTTGTTTGTAACTAAACACCTATGATACGGTATTTACCCTTTCTAGGGATTAAGAATGAAAACTTTTATTAGAAAAGAGTACAATCTGAAGCAGTTGGTTCTCTCCTGTGTAAATTTTCCAGTAACTCTCAAGAAGACTTTGGGTGTGTTTTCTTTGAACATTTCAACTCTTAAAATAAGTTAAAATAACTCCTTCTCTGAACTTACCACCAAAGTTCTTTAATTGGACCTGTACGTCATGAAGCAAGGAGCCCAAAGAGTGCTAAATAAAGGATGATATTAGACAGAGATTATGATACAGGAAGTCTGTATTTAAAATGATACAAAGGAGATCCCTGGCGATTCCCAGTCATGCCATAGGTGCATGAAGAATTTGCAGTTGGAGAGCTCTGTAGTCCTTGAGAACTGATCCCAGTTTGGGTATTTGCCAAGTCATCACACTGCTGCATTGCCTGGAGAAAGAGCCTAGCATAAGATACAGCCTTCTCCATTCAGGCTCTTGCTGCATGCAACCATTTTGACACTTCACTCACCCAGGATACTACAAAGTTACCCTGATTGAACCTGCCCTGCCAAGTATCCAAGAAACTCCACCCACTCTCCTAGGGTCCCAGGAAGAAACGAGCTACTCATCTCAACTGATTCAGAGGCAGAGTACACCAGGGAAGTCCGATGGCCCTGAGCACCCTTCAACTACTAATAGAAAAACTCAGTCATCCCTGCCCACTCACTGCTCCAGAAGCAGCTGAATGGCCCCACTCACACAGTCTTGGCCACAGGAAGCAACTAGGCAACCAGCCCTTAATGGCTTGCCCACAGAGGCCCAAGATAGCATAGAAGTGGCCCTGCCCACCCACCTGTGACTCCAAGAAGCAGCCAGCCTTCCCTGAGTAGCCATCCCATTGAGGTCCACCAAGGAAGCAGCTGGGCATCCCCATTCACCCTCCTGTGGCCCCACTAAGAGGTCGAGCAGCCCATTCTAAAATGCTCTTCTCACTGAGATCTTGAGAAGCAGATTCTTAATCTTGCCTACTCATCCTTGGCCACAGAATGTAGCAGGGAAACTTCCTTATCAAGTTGGCCCCCAGAGACTCCATAGATGTACTGATACAGCCACTGGACACTGAAACATACTTCACCTAGACAAACTGGTATGGCCTGACCCTTTGTGACCCATGGAACTCTCAGGTATCCCATAGTAATACCATGGGTAATGTTTCCCATTCAGCTGTACCCATAGGAGTGCGCCTTCATACAACCCACAGAAATTAATAGGTGCCAAACACTCACATATGGACACACAGCATCTGGGGTTGCAAACAAACCTGACCCCAACTAAGTGATTGGCAACCTAATTGACAGAGCCTCCTTTCCTTAAAGATTCTTTTATTTATTTGAAAGGCACAGTCAGATGGAAAGAGAGAGAGACATATTCCATCTGCTGGTTCACTCCCCAGATTGCTGCAACTGCTAGGGTTGGGCTAGGCCAAAGACAGGAGTCTGGAGATTCTTCTAGGTCTCCCATGTGGGTACAGGGTCCAGGTACTTGGGCCATACTCCCCATCTTTCTCAGGTACATTAGCAAGGAGCTAGAAATGGAGAATCTAGGGCTGTAACCAGTGCCCATATGGGATGTTGACGGAGTGGACTGTGGCTTTACCTGCTATGGCACAGTTCTGGCCCTTGGCAGGGCATTTCACAACTCCAGAATCTCAGGCCAATGAAATACCCACAAACATCACTAACATTGATTTCAACTGAAGAAGTTACACAGACACAATACTGAATTATTCACTTGGAACCATAGGTAATCTGCTTATCCAATCAATACCCTAGGACACTTTGCTAGCAAGTCTTTTGCTATTGAATTCTACCCTATAAAATCAGGCAACTACACACCAGATGCATAAAATCTAACATGGGGTAAAGAAGCTTGAAGCAAAAAAAGGTAACAGGACACCTGGCAGGAAGTTAACCCTCTAACACCACAAGGAACTAGAGATCAACTACTTGTCCAACAGTAAATTTGAAAGGACAATCCTATGAAAACTTAATGAAATAACAGGAAAACAGACAATTCAGTGAGATTATGAAAATAATTTGTGGCATAAATGAAAAATTCAGCAAAGAGAGATCATAAGAAGAAAAGAGCAAATCAGAGATTTTGGAGCTAAATAGCTCAATATAGGAATTTTTGAAAAACAACTAATCCTCAATAGTAGAAATGAATAAGCAGAAGAATTCCTAAGCTTGAAGACATATCTTTTGAAATAACTCCGTCTGAAAGAAAGAAGAGGAGAGAGAGAGAGAGTAAAAGAAAGAAAGAGAAGGTGGGGGAGAGAAGGAAAGCAAAGGAAGAAAGGCAATGGCAGGAAAGGAAGAAAGAATTATGGGATACTATTTAACTAGTAAATATTTGCATTGTGGATTTTGCAGAGAAGAGAAGGAAAAATGCATAGAAAATATATTCCATGAAATTAGCGCTGAATATTTTCCAAACATTGTGAAAGATATGCACATCCAGGTTAGAAAACCCAGACCCTACAGCAGATTTGATCTTCCCTGAAGCTTTTTACAATCAAACTTTAAAAAATCTGAAATCTGTCAGGCTGAGAGAAAATGGATGAAATATTCAAAATCCTAGATGAAAAAAGCATGCATTTACTGCTAAGAATACTATATGCAGCAAAGCTATCCTTCAGAAATGAAGGAAAAAAATAGATTTCCCATAATAAGCAAAAACAGAAGAAATCACCTGTCCTATAATAAATGCACAAGAAAATCATACATTGAAATGATGATAACTACCTTCAGGAAAACACGAAAATACAGATCTGAACACTAGGGACTGTCATTGTGAAGAAATTAGTAGAATTGCTGATTGCAATGCTGTCGTCTTATATTGGGAATGTATATTGGGGCCAGTTCTAATCCCAGCTGCTCTGCTTGTCATCCTGCTTCTTGCCCATGTGCCTGGGAATCAGTGGAAGATGGCCCACATATTTGGGCCCCTGCCACCCATGTGGGGACCTGGATAGAGTTTCTGCCTCCTCCTTCAGCCTAACCCAATACTAGCTATTGTGGGCATTCGGGGTATATAAAAGATCTCTCTTAATTTCTCTTGATTCTCTGTCTCTGTCTGTCTGTCTCTCCCTTTCCCTTTCCTTCTCTTTCTCCTAAAATTAAATCTAGTTGATAGTTTACCATTTGAAACCAGCAATTCTGATCAATATAACACATGACTTACTATAGTATTCAGTGTAACCTATCATTTGAACTAGATATCACAGTCAGTCCCTTGTGTCCTCAGAAGGGACGCAGTAGCCACCCTGAATCCCTAGAATCCTTCCCCTATCTGCTGACCTCTCTATCTGTGATGAGATGAACTATTTGAAGAGGACACTGAAAATCTATCAAAGCAGCTCTCACTTATTTTCATCTTCACCAGTACTTGCTCTCTTTCATAGAGATAGACGTTTTAGAGGTTAATTAATATAGTTGCATTATTTTAGCGATGAGAAATCAATTTTTTAACAATGTTTACTAAGTCAGAGGTAGACCTAGACTCAGGGTAACCTGCACATTTCTTGAGCAGGATTCTCTACTGCTGCAGCTTTGGAATCATCCCCCTTTGCTGGAATCTAGTGAAAGGTCACTGCTTTCTCAGTTTAGTGGGTGAGAGAAGACTTCAGAAAACATTGAGAAATTAGAACAGTCCTTCTATGTTAATACATTTAATCTAATTATATAAATACCAAATTTTGTAAAATCAATGTGAATGAGTATGACTTCATAAATTCCATATTGCTTTCATTCATCAATTTATCCAAAAAGACTCATATAAGATGTTCTGTGCATTTTTTTTTATGATTTCGAGAATAAGAACTTGCCAAGAATGAACTATCTGATTTACATTCTGAATAGTTTTTACTTTCTTAATGTTTTTATTTTCAGTTCCATTATTAATATTATTATAATTAATTTTTCCAAAAATCCACCCCCCCAAAAAAAACCCCAAGCAACAAATAATAAAACAGATTACAGACATTAAAATGTATTGTTAAACAACAAAGTTAGGGGCAGGCGTATGGCACAGCAGTCAAGATACCACCTAGCACATCCATATCCCATTCAGAGTGCCTCAATTTGAATTCTAGTTATGCAAATGATTCCAGCTCCCTGCTAACAGGCCTTCTGGGAGGTAGCAAGTGATGGCTCAAATAGTTGGATGCCTGCCATCAGCTGAGACATGGACTGAGTTCATGGTTCCTGGCTTTGGCCTTGCCCAGCAACAGCTCTTAACAACCATGTGGGAAGTGAACTAGCAATGAATCTCTCACTCTCTCTCTCCTTCTCTCTTTCTCCCTTCCTCCCTTGGCCCACCCTCTCCCCTCTCACTATCTCTCCCCTCTCTGTCTCTTTCTCTTTTTTTCTCTGCTTTCAAATAAAAAGAAAATAAATAAATAAATAAAATATATTTTTTAATTACAAAGTTAATTTCTTAGCAACTTTAAAAATTTCAAATCCACCACAAAGTTTGTTAATAACCAACTAGGCATGTTCCTCACTTTTGCAACACATATTACACACTATTTGTTGATCCTGTAGAAAAACATCAATAGATTAATTTCACATTCAACACTCTGAAGTAGTGTACAAAGTGATTTATCTTTCCCTCTCATCCTCACAAATAAATAGCTGTCTTGTTCACATCCCACCAAACGGAGTCCCTTTGTGTTCAGGGTTGAGTTCATGAAATGGAAAAATAGAGGCTGTGTGCTTAGTTCTCTTCTTCATAGGGCCATTGTGGATCTCCATGCTACAGAACATCTCTGCCACATCTTCGCTTCTCTCCAACATTCTACTTCAAATATTCCAGTGAATTATTATTTTTTCCCTTGATTTGGTCCTGGGTTGCAGAGGGAGATAGACCAGGTATACCAGCAACCTCTAGTCAGTTGTCCATTTTATTCATAAAGATTTACATATTTGAAAGAGAGAGGGAGAGAGAGAGATCGGTCTTCCATATGCTGGTTCACTCCGAAATGGACACAGTGATTGCAGCTGGGCCAAACTGAAGCCAGGAGCCAAGACCTCCATCTTGTTCTCTCACGTGGTTGGCATAGGACCAAGGAATTGGCCATCTTCTTCTGCTTTTCCAGGCACATTAGCAGGGAATTGGATTGGAGGTGGAGGGGCCAGAACTCAAAAGGACACTGTGATATGGGATGCCAGAGTTGCAGGCAACAGCTTATCCTGTTATACCAAACACAGGCCCTTAGTCAGCCATCTTGGTGATGTCCTGAAATAGCATTTTTTTCTCAAATATTTATTTATTTATTTATGGGGGGGGGAGAGAGAGAGATAAGAGATCTTCCATCCACTGGGTCACTTCTCAAACCACAACACAATAACAGCTGGAGCTGGGATGGTCTGAAGCCAGGAGCAAGGAGCTTCTTCTGGGTCTCCTAGATGAGTGGCAGGGTCCCAAGAACTTGCGCCATCCTCTGTTGCTTTCCCAGGCACATTAGCAGGGAGCTGGACTGGAAGTGGAGCAGCCAGGTCTCGAACTGGTGCCCATATAGAATGCTGGCATTGCAGGTAGTGACTTCACCTGTTAGACTGCTACTTTACAACTCCAGCTCCTGAAATTGCTATTCTGTCCAGAACTCTTTTTATGAATTAATTCTATTTGCCCAGACACAATCTTTCCTTGACTTTGTTCTTGGCTTTAGGATGAGATGCTGTGTTTGAAGGTCTTAAAGACTGGTGAAGCTTCACTAACTTTTCTTCAGATTCATGAACTTCACCACCTTGAATAAATCCCCCTTGGGAAATTATAGCCTGGGAGATTGGAAGTCCTTTCTGTTTCCCTTGGACCTGAAATAGTTCACTTCAGTGGATGTATTTCTGTGTACTGTGAAATGATTCCTACTTCAGACCCTTGCTGTGGGAGTCATTAACAACCTGGAAATGGAAAACAAAGCCAAAAATAGGGTAAAAATCTGTTCTACCAAGAAAATAAACATTACATGAAAATTCAAAATTTAATTACTAAAATATGGCTGCCTTTAGAAAGAAGTAAATTTCAAATGAATGTGTTCTAATTTCCTGTAATATACATTTATCTCAGGAAAG